GGTCTCATCCAGAACCGAAGACATGGCCCAGTGTGAACGCACTCAGTAGCGAATTCACAGGGCACACTTCACCACCCAAAACAAGTCTGTAGTAGGTGGCATAATTGGTAATTTCCACAAAAACAGGGAACCCAATATAGACCGAATCTTGGGGAATGCCCTTCTATGTACTCGGCGATAAAAAAATGCAAAAGGAGAGAAGGGCTCCAAATTCTAGCTAAGGGGTTATGGATTTAGGGTTTAGGGCTAGGTTAGGCTTACTTTTTCTTCTTGAAGCAGTCAAGGACTCCTTAGCTTCAGCTTGTTTGGAGGAATTTACTTGCGAAGTAGTACTGTACGGCCCCTAAACCCTAAAAACTATTTCGAAGCATGGCAGAGCAGGACAATGCCTCGAGCTCCTGCATGCCAAGGGGTTGAGAGACTTAGGGCCTCAAATGGGGGTTTCCCAAATTAGAGGTACCCTTTTTAGGGGTCCCTCTAATAAGGACCCGAACAAGCATCACTTTTAGGACCTCACTTGGATTCCTGAAACTAAAGGTCTTGTTGTGGGCCTCAAGCAGCTCTAATCCTAAACCCCTGAACCCCTAAACCCTAGACACTCCAGCCCTAAACCCCTTAAACCCCTAAACCCTAGACCCTTAAACCCAAAACCCTCTCAACCCCTAGACCTTTAACAGTATAGTCCCCCTTAAGTACATAGAATATGGGGTATGTGGGGATCTTAAAACAATATATACCCAAAGCCGTATTCTATCTACTTAAGGGGGATTATAAGTTGAAAGTAAGTCACAAGCAGATCCTTCAGGATGTCTGCACGCCTGGAGCTTGCTTTCCTTACGGGTTCGCGGAGCCCACGCGGTGTGGGTTTACTTCGGGTATTGATTGGGGGTATATAAGGTTATATAGGGGTTATATAAGGGTTCGAAAGGGGAATTTGGGGTTTGGGATTTAAGGTTTAGGAGCGGGGGGTGAAAAGCTTTACGGGCTTAGGTTTGAGGGTTTTGGTTTTGGCTTGCGAAATTTTCTGTCTTCTGCACAGGCTTTTACGGAACTTCTATGGGATCTAGGATTTAAGAGACTTGCGGTAGCTTTCGCAACCGCACCGTCTAGGCTTGGGGGTTTAGCGTTCACGTCTTTGAATACTTGCGCTCGCCGAGTGGTTTGTTCTTGTCTGCTTTCGGACCATAAACCCGAAAAACCGCTTTTCATCTTAGGGTGGAAGGTTTCTTCAAAATTTGGGGTGTAGGGGTCCATGTGCGCAATAATGATCTACTCCCCTAATGCCCGAAACCCTGTAATTACTACATGTAGTTACTACAATTACTGTTACCGAAGTCCCAAAAACTCAAAGCAAATGGTATACCTTTTGCCCAAGCCTTGTCGACGTCCCTACTATGTATTCCTGTAACCCTTTCTTTAAAGGGGCTCCTGCATGTCCCGCTATATCACTACAACCCATGCAAAGGTACCTGGTCACCCCATGTGGCACTTGGAACCCGTAAGTACAGGAACCTAGGGGAATCACGTCTAAACCTTCTCAGATATGGGTTTGGGGTTTAGGTTAGGTGTCTGGCTCTAGGGCTCTAGGGCTCAAAGTTTAGGGTTTGGGGTTTTGGTTTTAGGGCTTAGGGTTTGGGGCTTAGGGTTTTGGTTTGGGGCTTAGGATTCCGGGTTTAAGACTTGGGGTTTAGGGTTTTTTGGCTCAGGATTTAGGGGTCAAGGGTTCAGAGAGGATCTACTGGAAGGCTCGCCGGCATTAAGAAGTGTGTATAACTGGGCTTAGAACCCGTCTTATGATCTCTGCAGATGGCCGCATATGGTTTACCACCATGATAAGTAGGGTAACCCTAATTTTAGGGTTTTGGGCGTAGGGTGTAGGATTACGACCCCAGTTATAAGTGGATACTAAGTCTCGTGAACTCTACAGTATAGGATTCCCAAACTCTACTGTTGCAGAAAATAACCACCTGAAAATTCCCTAGACCTACTGTACAAGCCTGCATAGCACCTACTTCTTGTTTAGTTCTTCATGTCTTACACCCCCAAATTCCTGAATCTTTAATCTGAACCTCGAGGCCCAGATGCCCTGCCGAGTGAGCCCTCAAGCCCAGACCCGAATCCCTTCAAGTGTATATACATTAGGAGGACCCCCCACCCTGTAATAGTGGTATAATAGGAATATACGAGGACCCTAATATGATCCTTACTATTCCTTATAGTCACTGTTACTGGGTGGGGGTCCACCTAGTGCATACATCATATGAGCTAGAGTCTAAACTCCTAGTATCCCCCCTTCATAACCTACTCCCCTATATAATCCCCTGCGTGAAGGAATTTAGATTATGGCTCAGATGGGGTTTCCCAGGACCTTAATATAGACCCCAAGATATGCTAGCCCTTACACAAAAGAAAAAGTACGGAACCAACCCTCAAACCTTAACCCTAAAACCCCCAAGTTGGGTTCAGGGCTTGGAAACCTGGCTAAGCCCAGCGTCGCATGGAAGCAGCGTGCAAAAAAGATCCCAACAGTCCCCACCATGGGGACGGCGAAAAGCCAGTAGGCGAAAAATCTGGGAACATGTTTCGGGTTTAGGGTTTGAGGATTAAGGGTTTAGGGATGAACATTTTTAGAGTGCACCTAGACCCTACGGAGCCGACCTTTTCAAGGCTATGTTTTGTTTCCAGTACATACCACTAAACCCCAAACCCTCAACCCTAAACCCTACCCCTGCAGTTAATGTCATAGAGGGTCCAGGGCTTGCCCAAACTGGCTTACATGTGCCTAGTTCACCCTCAGGAGCGCAGAGTGGTTTAGGGTTAAGGGTTTGGGGTTCAGGGTTTAAGGTAAAAAGTTGTAGAGAGGAATGGAACAGAAGTTGGGAACTACTCTATGGTTCAGGGCTTAAGGCGAGGAGCTGAAGATGATCCCTCCCACTCCCAAAGGGATGGAATCTGGGAGGTTGTCGAAATTATGGTCCCATTT